CCCACGCACGAAGTTTTTTTCTCCGTGTGAGTGCGTGTGGTTTGTTTGACGGCCGAATGGGCAGTTCGCCGAGCAGTTTGTCGATCGCTTTTTCCCCAGAAAAAGCTTTCGAGAGATCGCTCGGCGTACTGCCCATTTGACGGTTTCACCAACGGTGAAACGAGAAAAAAACTTCGTGCGTGAGACCCGAAGTTGAGGTGACATAAATCTCTGAAGTTTTCGGATAACGTATCCGAAAACTTGAGGTCCAGCTGCCGAAGTTCGGATTAGACATCTGGAGTACTTTGGTACACACCGAAATACTTCAGATGTCTGACTCGAACTTTGGCAGCTGGGCCTCAAGTTTTCGGATGAGTGATCCGAAAACTTCAGAGATGTATATGACCTCAACTTCGGGTCTCACGCTCGAAATTGTTTTCTCCGTGTGTGGTGTGCTGTGCTGTGCTATGTAAGGTAAGGTCAGGTTAGCTATGCGGGATTGATTTGCTTAGGGCAGGCTAGGGCGGGCGGGGGTTAGGGGTATGGTGTGGGGGGTTTGGGTTGGGATTAAGAGATGGGTTAGAGGGGAAGGGGGGGATTGGTGTGGGCACAGTTTATTTTAGAAGTTAGGTCTAGTTTTAATGTGTGATTGAGTGTTGGGTTGGGAATAGCCGCGGTAAACGAATCGTAGGTATGCTCTTCCTGACTCTCTTAGTCAGAAGTATGCTTTCTACTCCCGCGACTAGAGCTGAGCCGTGAAATTTGAATGTCAATAACCTTAAAAAGTTGTTGAAATTCTAATTTCGCGCCACAGCTCTAGCGGCGGGAGCCGAAAGCCCACTTCTGACTGAGAGTGTCAGGAAGAGCATACCTATGTTTCATTTACCTCGGGGTTAGCCGAAACGGGCTAGGCGTCAGTTGACTGACTTGGTAAGGCGGGGCTTATGAGTTTAGGTGGGCCAAGACTAGGAGGGGGAGAGGGTTTCGGTTGGGACGAGGGGTTAGGTTAGGACGAGGGTTCAGGTTAGGATTAGGGTTTGGGTTAAGGTGATTCCACCCAGGAAGCATACAAACATCGATCTGTTTAACAAAGTTTGTTGTAATACGAGTCTTGCTTTTCACTATAAGCAAAAACAGTGCTTGAAACAGTGTAGAGGTATACATCAGCTAGCAGTCCGTTGGTGAAAAGTCTCTTCCCGGAACCCCCCCCCCCCCNCCCCCCCCCCCCCCCAATTAAAGCCAAATGAGACTGACCGCGAAATATCGCATTCTATTGGTTAAATAGAATGCGATATTCCGCGTTTAGTCTCATTTGGCATTAATTTAGGGGTTTTTGGAAGAGACTTTTCACAAACAGACTGCTTAAGTATGTTTCTACACTGTTTTAGCACTTTTTTTTGTCAAGAGTGAAAAGCAAAACTCGTATTTGAGCAAAATTTGTTCGACAGATCTATGCTTGTTCATTTCCTGGGAGGAATCAACTTACGGGATAATTTGAGATTAGGAAGTTTAAGATAGAAGTAGGACGTATGATGGTTTTATCCCTCGCATTACCTCGCTCTTGATCTCAAGGTGATTTGATGGAGGTTATATTTTGTGTCAGAACGACGTACGATTTATCGTATGTCGTCCTGACACAAGATATGGCGTCCATCGAATCACCTTAATGAAGTCAGCTTAAATAATATAAGCTTAAATAATATAATATAGTTTAAAAATTAAAGTCACCTTAAGAAAGTCGATAGTAAATTTAATCAGCGTATTCTTCGGGAGTTTCTACATTTCTGTAGATCGCATCAATTCGTTCCATAATTTCAGCGACTTGTCATTTTTTTCGAATTTTAAGCTCGCAGTTCTGTTGGCACGAGACTGAAGAATTCATGTACCAAATTTGACAAAGAAATTCAACGTAATGAAGGCAGGGTTTCGTAGAGGACAAATATAGCATTCGATACCGATCACGAAACTGCACTCGAATGCGATATTTTTCCTCTGAAAAAACCCTGCCTTTAATACGTTGAATTTCTTTGTCAAATTTGGAACATGGACTATTCAGTCACATGACAACAGAAGTGCGATCTTAAAATTCGGAAAAAATGACACGTGGCTGAAATTATGGAACGAATCGATGCGATTCATAGCATGTCGCTCTGACACAAAAATGGCGTCCGTCGAATCACCTTAAATCGCAAATCGCTATCACATGCAAGAACTTAATTTAATTAATTATGCAATTCAAAGATACATTTTTATTTTAAATAGTTACAACACTTAAGCTAAGATAAGAAAAGAACATATTTTTAGTTAATGCAGCTCGCCACCTTTCTAGCTGTGAATAATGATCGTCGAATTTCAGCCATAGCCGTGGGACTACAGCTACGCAACATGCTCTATTCTGCGAATGACCTCCTTGCCAGAGTTTCGCTTGATTGATGTGTCTGTGTTTTCACCGGCACAAATCTATCTGCACATCAAACTCATATTTTTTACAGAAAGGCAGGCTCATAGTAATGATGGAAATACATGCGAAGATAACATGCAGCAAGGCCAGACAACGCTAACACCCTGCTTCTCGGAAGATCGCAGATAAGGCGAAGAAATTGTGGGGCTTGAATATTTGCCCCCAAATCATGTCCTATTTACCCTAGTCTAAGTAAAATACTCATGTTAATTAATATTCATACTCGAAAAAAAGAGCAGATGAAAAAGAATCTAAGGCTAAAAGCAGTCCAAAGGACCAATAAAAGAAGCACAAGAAGGACCAAAAACAGCAGGAGCAATAGCAGTTAAAGCAGCAATCCTGCCGTGCTAAGGAAGAACGCCGTATGAACATTCGAGAGTTGCCAAATTTCCTTCGATATAATGTTTAGTTCTGCAGTAGATTATGGCTATTTTTCCATGAAATTTTCCGGAACTTCAGGTAAAATTGCAAACAAAGTGATCTGAAAAATTGGAAGGAAAATATTCATTTTACCAGGAAATTCGTGTTTCATCAATGGAGATTTGGCAACGCCTGAAGGTTCGTACGGCGTTTTTCCTTAGCACGACAGAATAGCAGTTACACCAGCTGTAAAAATCCCTTGATTTGGGAAATCAAGCCAATTTAAAATTCGGCTGAAAAAATAAAAACAACGACGGTAACAACAGAAGATGAAGAAGTTTTAGCAGTCAATAGCAGAAGAAAAATCAGCAGCAGAATTGCTAAGAGTAGGTATATTTGCTCCTTAACACAACAAATATTTTTTTTCAGCGTAACGACTATAGTGTCGAGGAAACTGTCGTCTTTGTTGTGAGTCATGAATATCCAATTCTTCTCAGTTAGTAAACAAATCAGGGCTGCCAACTCTTGCGTAATTTAAGCATCGGTGAGTAAAATGGGTGTCATTTTAGTAGTGTGTGAGAATTCCAACGAGCTGTGAATAATTCAAGAGTGATTCTGCATCATAGTGTCCCGCGGTGTGATTAGCGATCGATGAAGTGATGATCGATCCTAAAATAATACATTTCTTGTGTAATTTGTGAGTAACGAGTGAGTAAAATCGAGAAACTGTGAGTGAAATGTGAGTAAAATCGAGGAACGGCGAGGAAAGAGTGAGTAAAATCAAGAACGGAGAACAAAGTGGGAGTGAAATCGAGAACAGAGAAAACAAGGTAGTAAAATCGAGACACAATGAGTAAAAAGAGTCGTGAAATCGAGACACAATGGGTAAAAAGAGTCGTGAAATCGAGACACAATGAGTAAAAAGTGTTGTAAAATCGAGACACAATGAGTATAAAGAGTAGTGAAATCGAGACACAATGAGTGAAATGAGAGTAAATCCAAGAAATGCAGTGAGCGATAAGTGAATTAGATCGAGAACAATGAATAGTGAGAAAAATGGAGAACGGTGAGTAGCAAGTGAGCAAAATTTATAACGGTGCGTAGCGGATGAATGAGGAATTCGCAAAACGTGCGAGTGTAGGCAGCCCTGAAAAAGATGTAGATCTCAGCGGGGTGAATAGTTCTTGATAAGTCGTTGAAAACCTGGGAAAGTCAGGGCAATTCGCCCAACATTGTAAAGGCAGTGATTTTTGCTGCAGAGCGTGTAAATTATTTCTTCTGGTCGAAATGTGTACAAATTACTGTCCACTGCACTAACACACTCTGTGGACGAAGATCAACTTCCGCCTGTAAGTCCTTGAATTTTAGATTTAAGAAATTATGCCTCAGTGAAGGCATTTTTCATTGTGTCCCGATGAAACCGGGTTCCCTGTAACCTCTTTTTCTTCTTCCCCCGAAGAAAAAGTGTAGCTTTTTGTAGTATTCCTTTAATTGTCGAATCCTCAGTATTCGTTGACGCAGTAAATTTGAAGTCCAAACAACGGACTTGGCAGCCAATATTGTTGGTAGGTTTTCCCTTGTGTACTCACAGATTTTCCCCTCGTAATCAAAATCTCACGAGAGTTTGTTACTGAAGTAAAATCGTAAAACTCAACTCTATTATGTTCCCCAGCCGAACGATGAATTATAAGCGCTGACGCAACTAATTGCTTGCATACACGCTACTGGCTTCACGTTAAATTAGTCAATTTATGTTTTATCAGGTTTTCAAAAACGAAGGATGCATTGATTTTTTGAGACTTCTAAAGCAAATAAATCCATAAATACAAAAATGATAATTGGAAATTATTGCACCTGCTTCTGGCCTTCAATATACATGTGCGTACATGGAACATGTATTAAATATGCTTGGTTTTTCCCCTTTTTTCGGTTTTTGATTATCCACAAGCAAATTATCTCTTGGTTGTATCATTCTGGTTTCAAGATACGCTTTTTATTATCATTATCATCATTTTATTTTCATGATTTTTCCTATCTTGTTTTTATGTCATGTATTATTGTAAACGCCTGATCTGAGCAGATTTGAAGTAAGTTTAAGCACACATGATTCATCTCCTGGTGAATCTGTAATTTTTTTTAACTATTTCTATCCTAACGACCTTCTCGTGGTCAATTTTGTTATTGCGCAATGCGATTCCAGTGACAGTGTGGTGTCGTGAGTGCTTACAGCTTGGCGTCGGGCAATTGGATAACTCTCCTCTGGTACGTATCTAACAGTTCATCCTTTCTTGTCATTAAATTTATTCACTATCCCTCGGCAGTTGACGATTTTTACAGGATACATGGGTCCGTTGCGCTGGAAAGAATCGTATTTTGATGATGTAAGCTCATTTTTCATTAATCAAATGGACAAAGTGTGTCCAATCGCCAATTTTTTACGTTCAGTATTGACAGAAATACCGCCCATCAAAATACATGGATAACATCATCCACCGCGGAAGTGCATACAGTCCTAAAAGTAACGCGGTGTATGACGTCATACATCGTATTTTACCATGGGCAATATCTCCGTTAATTAATAATGGACGTAGAGACATGATGTTTGAAAAGATCAACAATAAAATCAACATTAAAATACAAAATACAAATGGGTATACAAGGCTAGAAGACACATAAACAACCAGGACGTTTCGGGCCAATTACATGCCCATTCTCAACTGGAATAGAAGCTAAAAAATGTAAAAATTTAAACAAGAAAATGAGCATGCAACTGACCGAGGTAAGAATCAGTGCAAACTGAAAAACAGAGCAAAGATGAACAGAGGGGCACTATCACCTCCTTGATAATAGGACAACCTCTATACCCACCAAGGAGTGTTTATAGAGGCTCTTCTCTACCACAGAAAAACTGATGATAGGATGCGCTCAATCCATCCATGTCAGCCCTAAAGTTGCATAGTTCACCTCTATTCTTGACGATGTTTATCATCTCCAACAAACCTCTGGCAAAGTCCCGGGACTCGACAGCTAACATTTTGGACGAATCAAAATCAAAATGGTGCCCTAATTCATCCTCATGTCGGTGTAGAGCTATGTCTTTTCCTGTCGGTTGTACATATGACCGTACAGCCGTTTCCTCAAGAGTTGGGAAGTTTGCCCAACGTAACTCAAATGACAATCTTTACAGTTGATTTTGTAAACAACACCAGCTTGTTGTTCAACAGGGCGTTTGGCTTTCAGCTGAGATGTTAAAAATTTGAGGTTGTTGTAATTGGAGTGTACAACCCTAAAATCTAGCCTCGATCCTCAAGAGTTTCAATTTTAGGGTTGTACACTCCAATTACAACAACCTCAAATTTTTAACATCTCAGCTGAAAGCCAAACGCCCTGTTGAACAACAAGCTGGTGTTGTTTACAAAATCAACTGTAAAGATTGTCATTTGAGTTACGTTGGGCAAACTTCCCAACTCTTGAGGAAACGGCTGTACGGTCATATGTACAACCGACAGGAAAAGACATAGCTCTACACCGACATGAGGATGAATTAGGGCACCATTTTGATTTTGATTCGTCCAAAATGTTAGCTGTCGAGTCCCGGGACTTTGCCAGAGGTTTGTTGGAGATGATAAACATCGTCAAGAATAGAGGTGAACTATGCAACTTTAGGGCTGACATGGATGGATTGAGCGCATCCTATCATCAGTTTTTCTGTGGTAGAGAAGAGCCTCTATAAACACTCCTTGGTGGGTATAGAGGTTGTCCTATTATCAAGGAGGTGATAGTGCCCCTCTGTTCATCTTTGCTCTGTTTTTCAGTTTGCACTGATTCTTACCTCGGTCAGTTGCATGCTCATTTTCTTGTTTAAATTTTTACATTTTTTAGCTTCTATTCCAGTTGAGAATGGGCATGTAATTGGCCCGAAACGTCCTGGTTGTTTATGTGTCTTCTAGCCTTGTATACCCATTTGTATTTTGTATTTTAGTCTGTCTTTATTGTTTTCTGCGTTCGGGCTTTTGTGTCTCTCGCTCTCTTATCACTTTGAAAAAATCTTATCGTGGTTTTTGCTTATGTAGGTATAAGCTCTAACGATCAACATGCGATTCTGTGACTATACTCCGCATGATACGATAGGCGCGGAGGGGCGTCACTGATGAAACAAAAATGCATAAGCATTGTCACGACGGTCGTCGATAAAGTAAAGTTCAATATGCAATAATTACTTGCATGCCGACGGTCGGTGGAAAGCACAATTTTCCTTAAAATTATTGTCATTCGTAACTTTTCATCCTCCGTGATCACTCCTCCTCTCGGACTCCGCAGTAGGTACGTGATGTGGTATCACGCGAAAATGAAGGAAAATGTTAGCGCTCCACCTGTCGCACATTACTGACATTTATTTTATGAATGTATGCACAATGCTCACAACGTTAAATTCTGAAATCAAGTGCGTAAATATTGGAATAGCAGCGTTTGTATGTGATGTGGTATCACACGGCTTTGAAGGAAAATCTTAGCTTTTCACCTGCCTCAAATAACTGAATTAATGAATGTAGGTCAGGGTCGGACTGACCATAAGGCCAATCTGCCACTGGCAGATGCGCCCCCCCAGCGCGCCCCTCTTCCGGCTGCTAGAATGGTAATGAAGAAAATGAAGAAAAGAAGGAAAGAAAGAAAAGAAAGAAAAGAAAGAAAAGAAAGAAAAGAAAAAAAAGGAAAAAAGGAAAAAAAGGAAAAAAAGGAAAAAAAGGAAAAAAAGGAAAAAAGAAGAAGAGAAAAAAGAAAAGAATAATTAATAAAAAGCAAGGAGAAAAGAAAATAGGTAAAGAAAAAAAATGCCTAAAAATTATAAGTAAACGGGAGAAGATTTAATAGGAGTCATGGAGGAAAGTGTAATCTGTATTCTGTCCCCTTGTCTCATTTTTCTTTTCTTTAGCTATGTAGTATGTATATTCATCAGGGCCGGATTTACCTGCTTGCCGCCCATGGGCCGCCTGTACTTTGCCGCCCCCTTCTCATTCGTTTTGAAACATCAATAAAACCGTCAAGTGAACGTGCCGGAGGTAGCGGGGTGCATAAAACGCGTTCACTCGTGTTAGACACATTTTTTGCGAAAGTCCTGTCAACACTACTAGCGAAAGTTCACGGAACTTTGCGCGAAAGTTAAGTTTCGTAAAACTATCTCTGTGTGGACAAGGTCTTCCATTCATAAGAAATGCACGAAAAAATTATGCAAGAACAAACATATATGTGGTTTAATAATTTAAACTTCCGCCGCCGCTCCGCGCTGACCGCACTGTATTTGGCGCAATGCGGGAAGTATTTCTACAGTCTTGTAGGCGCTATGCGTTTCACGCCGACCGCTGCTGACCGCACTGTGTCTGACGCTCTGTATTTACATTATGTTCAATTTCAGAAATTTCCTTTGTAAGATTAATCGATTTTGAACCTGAAAATATCGCCAAAATTCTACTTAGAAGAGTTTAATTTTTAAAAAATTTCGGCTTTTCCGAGAGAGAGAGAGAGAGGGAGGAGGGGGGTGTTCCCGCATACTCCTGAGCAAAATATCACATTGCGCCCCCCTTCAGCGGCTAAGGGTATGCGTATGCGCCCTCAGAGGTGCGTCAGTCCGACCCTGATGTAGGTACACATGACGCTCACATCGTTAAATTCTGAAATCCAGTCAAGCGCGCAACTATTGGAATTGGAACCACGCCGTTGGTATGTCATGTGGTATCACGCTGCTTTGAAGGAAAATCTTGGCATTTCACCTGCATGTCTCAAATAAATAACTAACAAAGAGCGAATGCAGGCAATATGCGCACTACCGTAAAGGGGCCACTAGATAATGTACAAAGTTGAGTAATCTGATACACGTTTGTTGACTAAAATTTAACCCTAGTCTGCCTGAGTGGGGTCAGATTGACCCCACGGGAGTTTCAACTCTTTGCCATTTCTCGTGGTATGCACGAAATTTTTTGTCCTTCACAAATAGCTCTACAAAAACATCTAGGAACACGATTTTGAAGGAGGGGGGGGGGGAAATGTGCATGAGAGATCAAAATATTCACGAGTACCCCTAGAAAGCCTGAGCGGGGTCAGATATCCTTATAATATATATTTTACCATTTAGCATCACAAAAGCTTACTTTGAAGGTGTATTCATTTTTCTCTTTTTAATTTTTTTCAGAAACTTATAAAACAAGCAACATTTTTCAGATTTTTTTCGTTTTCAGTATTTAGTAGCCCTATGATTTTTTTTTCTCATACTGAGAACAACATGGCAACATGTGTATGATAAAATGGTTGCATACCCTGCGCCGTGTTTTTTAAAACTTAGATATGCTTTATGGTTAAGACCTGTAAGGTTAGTGCAATGATATTTTTTTTTTAACTAAAAACATGAAAAAAACATAGCTAACTAATTGATTTTCAGCTGGGGTCAAATTGACCCCGCTCAGGCTTTCTCGTTGGTTCAGAGGCTCAGGCAGACTAGGGTTAACGTATAAAATAATGAAGGGTAATGCAAATGAAGCTACAAAAAATGGCAGCATATCGGTTGTAAGAAATCTTCTTTTTTATTTTTAAACTGGAAACTAGATACGGCACTCGATGCGAGAAATAAAATGCGGAGAATTTCACATCTATCGCCGATTAAGGATGCACATCCACTAATAAAATTCACTCATGCATGAACGTCAGTAATTCGAGACAGGTGAAAATGTAAGATTTTTCCTTCAAAGCGGCGTGATACCACATCACATGAGCACCATCGCCCCAGTTCGAATATTCACGCGCTTGATCTCAGAATGTAACGTTGTGTGTGAGCATTATGCATACATTTATTTACGTCACAAATGTGAGACAGGTGGAATACCAACATTTTCCTTCATTTTTGCGTGATACCACATCACGTACCTACTTCGGAGTCCGAAAAAGTGCTCGCTCGATTTCCGCATTCAATGGTGCAATTATGATACATACATGAATGTCAGTAACTCGAGACAGGTAAAAAGCCAAGATTTTCCTGCAAAGCGGCGTGATACCATATATCATACCAACGGCGTAGTTCCAATAGTGCTGATTGATTTCCGCATTCAACTAAACATATTTGCCTACTTTCAAAGCTTAGTAATTTGAGACAGGTGAAAAGCAAATATTTTCCTTCAAAGTGTTGTAATACCACATCAGATACCGACGCCGCAGTTCAAATATCCACGCGCTGGATTTTAGCAATTAGCGATGTGAGCATCATGCCTACATTAAAATTTTAAGTAATTTGAGCTAGGTAAAAAGTTATTATTTTCCCTCTTTTCCGCGTGATAATACACATTACGTGCGCACCTACTCCGGAGTCTGAAGAGCTGCGACCTTGATTTCGGTATTCAACGATGAGAGCATTTTTAATTCATAGCCACAGTAATTGAAATAGGCGCGGAAACCTAGGATTTTTTTCCAAACTGCGTGATACCAAATCACATATCAACGACGCAGTTTAAATATTCATGCGGCTGTGCGCCTGTTTTCAAAATGGACCATTAGACAACGTAACGTACAATTAATTGGACTGCATTTTGCAATTCGGAACTATAAATTCTGGCTTTTCTGGAAAAACACTTATGTGCGTAGGGAGAACTAATAGCACATTCGTTGTTTTTAAACCGGGCTAGAATTTACAGTTCCAAATTGCAAAATGTAGTCCAATTTATGCTTTCTTATGCATGTTTTTTGACGAAAATTTCACGGAGAACACGATTCTTGCATTGAAAATTACTGAAATAAAGTAACAGATATTCACGTTTTTATTTTACATCGGTACCGGGAAATTTTAATTTCCCAGTCACGAGAAGTCAAAGAAGATTCAAATCGCGATTCAGAACGGTTTCGGACGGATTCCTTATCGAGCTTTCCGCCTTATCCACCCTTTATTGCAAATAGTAAACAATTTGCCATAGCTGAGCTGAAGCGTCAAGATTGAGGTCGCCATATTGTAGTATCGCATGGACTGCCACAGTAATGTTTAATGTGCGATTTGACCCTCGTAGATGATTGCGTTCTCATGAGCGGGAGGTTTGAATTTACGCATCAAGAATCATTGAATATCTTCGTTAGGAGTTGATTCTAGTAATTTTAGTCGCATGAATCTTGTTTTCCGTGAAATTTAAGTTAACATACATGTATCAGATTACTCAACTTTTTACATCGTCTAATGATGCCTTTAACTTAGCGAGCTTCATGCCTGTATTCATTATTTGAGACAAGTGAAAAGCCATGATTTTCCTTCAAAGCGGCGTGATACCACATAACATACAAAAACGTAGTTCTAATATTAGCGCGCTTCATTTCAGAATTTATCACTGTAAGACTTTCCTTCAAATCGACGTGATACCACATCACATACCAACGCGAGTTTTCCATTGGTTTTGTGAAATGATCAAAAGATTACGCGTTACTCGACTCAATGCCGTGAAAAATAATCTTTACTTACATTTATCTTCTTTTTATTATTTGTATTTTTACATTTGGTGCTTCTCCAAGCATGTTAAAATAGTTTCCAGTTAGGTAATGAGTTAAGTGAAAGGGTTGGTAGTTCGACAGATGACGTAGAATAAATCGAAGCGCATCTAATAGAGGCGAATAACGCGTATTGTGCAATCATTTTACAAAACTTTCGGAATAATCGTGTATTTGCCACGATTTGCGGTTATTCTCGCGTGATTTCTCAGGATATCTTGCAAAATGGAGAGAAGGAAAACACATTTCGCGCGATACAGAAATTAAAAGCATGTAATTTCTCAGGATTTAACAATTCCGTTGGAAGTATTACGTGCTTCTTGCAATACCGAGATGAAGATCGCGCAATTTCTCACATTTCAACATTCTGCAAAATGTAGTGAGCACACATGTAGTATGTGTGGGTGTATTCGTACACTGGAGTGGAGTTGTGGTATCGCGCGAAACTGAAGGAAAATCATATCTGTTTACCTTTCACAAATCACGGACATCGTGAATGTTACTCTCGCGTCCGTATTAAAGTCGCGAATTTTCCGCGTTATTGAGGTGAAAATTGTGTGGTCTTAAATCACCTGCCAAAAAATGTTCGTTTGTGTCGCGGTATGAGACGAGCACGCGTAATTTTAAATGATCTTACGAAACCGCTGGAGTTTTTTCATTTTTTTTTTCGAAATCGCAAGAAAAATTGCGCCTTTTCTGCGATATCGAAATGAAAAGCGAGTAATCGTTTAGGATTTAACGCATCCGCTGGAAAATTTCCAACACGTATCTCGCGATATTGAAGGAAAATTTTTGCTTTTCGCCTATCTCAAGTTGGTTAAGTTTATGAATATGAAGCTCACGCCACCTCTCATTTTTTATGAGCGGAAATCGAGGTAGCAACCATCCGAACTTCGGATTAGGTATGTGGTATCATGCGAAATTGTAGGAAAGTTTTGGCTTTTTGTATGTGTCGAACTAGTGACATTTATGAATATGAGGCTCGCATGGATATTAATCTCGTAATCGATATTTCCCCGATTGAAGCCATGGTGAAGAATCGATTATTAAGATGTTCGTTGTGAACACCCTGTCTACCGATCCTTATGCATATAGGTTTAAATGACAGATCAATTGATCAATCAAAGCGAAGCACGCCACGCCACTGGCGATTGTTTATGTTCTAAGTAAACTGCTGGAGACTTTGCATACATGCCGCGATATTGAGATGAATGACGCATAGTTTTTAATGTTGTTACCAAGCTGCAGGAAAAATCGCATATATAACGCGGCATATAGCTAAAAATAACTTCTCTTTTAACAAGTGCTTCTACTAAACTAACTGCATGAGGAATATATTTAATCTTACCAAATCAGGAAAATCAGAATTTCAATGTTATATAGCATTACCCTGCTAAAAATGACGAGTAGGCTATTCAGAATTCGCCAACTCACATGAGTAGAACTTCCTACTTATATGAGTAGAAATCCTACTCATATCTCTAGAATATTCTGCTCATAAGAGTAGAAAAGTTCAACTCGCATTAATTCAGTTTTTTTCATTTTCCAGAAGTGCAGTTTCTAACCAGGAAACACCGACACAGCATGTAAATTTGAAAAATAAAAACATTTTGTTCTTATAATTTTTTGATGCGGCGACTAGTTTCTGAGATATCGGACACGGTAGATTAAACGCTGAACTCATGTGAGTTGAAATCTCTAGTCATATGAATTGGCGAAAACTGAATACCTAGAGAAAGTCTACTCGTATGAGTTAAATTCTATTCATATGAGTTGAAATTCTATTCATAGGAATTGAAATTCTATTCATAGGAATTGAAATTCTATTCATATGAATTGAAATTCTATTCATATGAATTGAAATTCTATTCATATGACATTGATTTTCTACTCATTCGTACTCACCACTTTTAGCAGGGTTACTGACTATCTACTTGAGCCCCTCCCCCTTTTCTCGTCTAGATTTTCATCATTCCGTACATTGACGATTTTTTTCTTATTTTTTCAGAATCCCGTGCCCATGCTGTGACCTGTTGTTCGGTAAGTGTGAATCATTGTTTCATTTCTTTTCACGGATAATAAATTCAATCATGTCCAAAAACCGCTGGTGTCCATTTTCCCAGTCTTGGGTTTTCTCGATTTGTTTATAATTTTCAGAGGTCTATTCATAAATCAGGCGTTGATACACGTTATAGAGTCATTTTAATCCTAAAGTGAGTCCTATTACCTCTTTCGTAGTTTTAGCAATTTTCGAAAAATATGATGAACACAAATCCTACAGCCGGAAAAATGATCATCAGCGGTTTCCGCAAGACACGTTTCAATTAAGTAGTATCCTTAGCTATCGAAGCCTACGTGTCAAAATTTCTGAAACTGATCGAGTTACTTTTTCTTTTCTTAATTGGGGATAAAATTTGTTACAAACAAAAACGAGCGTCCCCGTCACAACGCATAGTCATTGTGCTTTAAGGAAATAGAAGATTCCTTCACAGAACATCGACCTCAGGTTTGCCGTGCCAAGGAAGAACGCAGTATGAATCAAACAGGCGTTGCCAAATTTACCTCGACAAATCACAATTTTTCAAGAAAACTTGTGAATATTTCTCCTCCAATTTTTTAGAGAATCTCCTTCTTAATTTGACAGGGTGGCTAGCGACCGAGAAAAGTTAGGGAGTGCAACTCGCCCGGGAATAATCAGGGAAAAGTCAGGGAATTTTTTGTGGAGTCTGGTTTCACGTAAAAATCAGGTCCGCGATGGACCAACTAACTGATCGCGTTGTTGTGCCAGCATTTTGACCAGATTAATTGGATTGCATTTTGCAAAAAGGAACCACTAGCATTGCAATGTTGCTAAGATTGTGCAACTTCTTTTGTCTTGGAGGAAAAGCCCGATTATCCATTAATAGTTTCTATTTTACTCGCTAAAAACTGTAAAAAGACAAAAATTACCATCTAAATTTCATAGTTTTTCACGATTTCCGCAATTTTATTGCAAAAGATGAAGTTGCACAATCTTAGCATCATTGCAATGCTAGTGGTTCCCTTTTGCAAAATGCAATCCAAATAAGTGCCCTTACGTTATCGTTAAAAAGTCAGGGAATTTCATCAGAAGAAGTCAGGGAATGATAAAATTGAATTTTGCCAGCCATCCTGTTTGATCTGAAAAGTCTGGAAGTTTCAAGAAAAAAATATTCATAACTTTCTGCAAAAATTTATATTTTCTGAGAGTGAATTTGGCAACATTCGAATGCTTTCACAGCGTTTTTACATAGGTATTAGGTAATCGGAAAGTCCTGCGCCACCCTTGTAGCCTCGGAATGAATAGAAGTAGGGTCATTCCATGCCAAAATCGGACACTTTTAGTCCTGAACCCATCAGACCTACTACTGAGAACGTTTTAAATTTTTTCGATGCCTTGTCCAGCTTCAGTTGAGCTTTAAAGTTCGGGCGAATTGACTTTAAATTATGAGAGTGCCCACCCCCAGGTAAATAGAAACTACTTTTGGGACCTTACAAAATTTTGGCGGGACCACTCTAGATTCTATCACCCTTCCTTATTTTTTCTACCCGTGACTCATCATTTTGTTCGACATCGGAAGTCTTCGTCTTTTTGAAAAGTTTATCTCTTTTAGTCTGTTTTCTATCATTTCATCAATGGGGGCTGCACTATACCTAAATGTTGCAATAGAATCATTACTCTCCAAGAATCCTTACAAACCTCTGTGCTTTAATAGGATAAGAATATAGAATTTATTCCAGACCGTTTCAATCTCAGCTCAGGATCACCGCGAAGGCCCATAATCTGAGATCGGAACTTACCTCTTTAAACCGCCTTCATCGAGTGGTGCAGGCAATTTATTCAGCTCGTGAACAACTGCTGGTTGCCGAGCTAAAAATTTCAAGGCGTTTCGCAAATGAATTATTTCCCGTCAATTTTTCTTTGCCGCATTTGACGATACATATTGGACTGTATTTTGATTCACGGATTTATTCTCCTCCAGTAAAATGTAGTTTTCTGAGAGGTACATTTTTTTTCTTACTTTTCAATTTTAAAACTTAACGCGTGAATGCAAACCTCCCGCTCATGAAAACACAATGGTCGACGTACGTCAGACCGCAAACTAAACGTTACCTTGACAGATACTACAATACCTTAATCTTGATTCTTTGACTCAGCTATGTCAAATTGTTTACACTTGAAACAATGAAGGGTGAATAAGGAACGATGCTCGATTGAGAAGCCTGCCAAAACCGTTTTGAGGTGCGATTTGACTCATGCAGAGTATTGCGTTTCTCGTGACAGAGCAATTCAAATTTCCCGTTATGTAAAATTAAAACGTAAATATCTAAGTTGGGACTTGATCTTAGTAATTTTCAACGCAAGAATCGTGTTCTGCGTGAAATTCTAGTCAAGATACATGTATTCGAAAGCTAAAATTAACACCTCGTCTGACGGTCCATCCTGAAATTAGGCGCGTGAATATTGGAGCCGCGTCATTGGTATATGATGTGATTTCACGCCGCTTTGAAGAAAATATTAGCTTTTCACCTGTTTCAAAATTACTGAAGCTATGAATACCGTTAAATACCGAAATTAAGCGCGTAACTATTCAGACTCCAGAGGAAGTACGTATGTGTTATCACGCGGAAATGAAGGAAAATATTAACTTTTTACTTGGTTCAAATTATATAATATTTAATTGTAGGCATAATGCTCCCATCGTTAAATGCTTAAATCCAGCGCGTGAATATTGAATTGGAACTGTGGCGATGGTATCTGACTCTGACATGGTATCCACTTCGAAGGAAAATCTTAGCTTTTCACCTGTCTCAAATTGTTGGAGATAGCAATGAGTTTCCTTCAGAATCTGAACGACACTTATTTCGCAGCAGAGAGCAGAGCATTTTGAGTTCACGACTCACGCCTTCAATTTTGTAAATGCAACACGGACATCCATCAAGTACGAATAGTTGTATTTTTGTGCCGTCATCAACGATCTCTGTCTCATATTTCCGAAATTTGAGAACAGTTAAGGATAAGTTAGCTCAAAATATGCTTTAACATTCATAATGAAGAATGATTTTTTGAATAAAAGCCAAAACACAAAAACTCTCTGATGGAATATGAAAATCTAATTTGTGGAGGGGGAACTGCCTCCTTCAGGAGGCCACGTTTGGATCTCGGTGGGCCGATTTTGAAATATGAGGCATCAATTATAGTGACCGTATTTTTCAATTCTAATACAAGTGATTCGCAATTCGGTCAGGGACCCAACTTTAAAGATCGCGATCCTCCTTGCCCCCCTCCCCTCCGGATATATGGGGAAGGGGTCCTGGACCAGGAAATTCAAATTCCTTTGGGTCGTTTTCTTCTTCGACTTCGCGGTTCCTAACTTCGCACGATCTAAAATAACAGGAAAAGGATTATAAGGGTTGTCAGAAACCCCCCGCATTATTCCTCTTGCTTTTCAAGAACTTTTGACAAATTTTGGGCCTTAATGGGCATCTGTCCTTCAAAAGACTTATTTTTGGGCTGTAAAACAGGTAGTTTCTTTGTTCAAACTGAGAGGTCAAAAATAGGCTATTTTCCTCAACTTTCAGTGAATCCAATTCGGAAAGGGCGGCTCATTTGACCGTGTACCCTGCTTCTTATCGTAGAATACTGCCTGGGGGTGCGTCGCATTGATAGCTCGCTCCTCCTCTAGCCTCCCTCACACTACTGGGGCTGCTGGAGAAAATATATTCAGTTTCCGAGAAAACAAAAGAGGCAGAATTGCCTAGTCTCAGCGACGACGTACCTAATTAGCCAAGCCTCGGAGGGTCTAAAACAGCTCGTTTTACCAGTCTTTTTTCTTCTTCTTTTTCTCCTTCTTCTTGCTCCTCCGAGGCGCAACAAGAAACGGCGCCGATAGAACAAGTTGCGTGAGGGCGTCCGCTATCAACTTGGACGTCTTGACACGGCACGGCGCGGCGCGGCGTCGCGTCGGCGCTCAGGGGTCCCTCAGGGACGGAGGGGTGGGAAGGGCCGGGAGGGAGGGGTATCCGGCATCCTGCATCCTGCATTCGGCTCCAGAACTCAGTCTCCCGCGCACTGCACTGCGATACGTTGCTGCTCTGCCGGTTGCGTCCCTAAATCGCACGGCGCTCTTCGGAACCGCTTGCATGTGCATTCGCGTCCTCTTCGTGTATTTCGGATTACTGCCCGCCAATCGAGGCTCCATCTCAGGTACTCGATACATTAGATTACTCATCGAGCTTCGCACTTTTGTTTTGGCTTCTATTCCAGTGATTTTTATTTTATTCTTCACTTACTTATTTTATTTCGTTTTTTTCTGCACTAATATGATTCGGTCATATTCGTCATGGATCTGGATCATAGTTGTTATTTCTTATGGGACACCAATTTTCTCGTACAATGAATTAAGCCTCGCGGTCATGATTGATCATTGCTATCTATGGTCAGCCGTCTTCCTGCGGCATTTATTCCCGCGAAAACTTTCATACAAAGCATCCAGTAACTTATTGTTCCGTATGGATCGATTTCAAGCGCACACTCGATTAATCCTCTATGGCATGAGATCTCAGATTCGCTGGGGGTCCCTAATTTTTTTCGTAGCTTGCATTAAAAACAAAGAGTACACAGTTTTTTTTTCAAAATTGCGAATTTCAAGGCATCGGTTATTCGAAAGAAAAAAAAAACTAATGAAAATTTGCAAAATTATGGCACAGACGATAGAGTCAATTTTTGAAAACCCCAAAAATACGTAGTTACAAATCCGTAAAGCTATACCAGAGAGGGTCAAAGAACCCGGTCCTGTCGATAATTTTTGGATTGAAGACTCATGGACGTCGAAGAGAGAAACCAATTCATCTATTCATTTAGCGGCAGACTTAGGATTCTCTCGTTTAAAGCGATGGGTGCTGTAATTACTAAAACTGTTCCTAAAAAGCAAGCAAATCCTCCAAAACTTAAATCTCATAAATCATGGTACTTTTGGTCGTCAATAGCCACAGAACGAAGTCAAAGTAAGATATGAAGT